TGAGAAGTAGCTTGGGGTAAAGCAGGCTCTCTGGCAAAACTGGTTTCGCAGGGGAGGAGGGGCTGCAAAGCTGTAGCTTCCATCCTGTCTTGCTTTGGGTTGCTCTTGATTTGGTGGGGATCCATTTCCCCATCGCTGCCTGGCCCTGCTGTGCAAACCAGCCAGGGCCACCAGTGCGACAACGTGATGCCTTCTTGTGCCTGGCGAGGGAGCAGGGGTTGGAGAGGCTGCAGTTCCTCCAGTGGGTTTATTTTTTTTGCTCTCTGGTACCGTCTGTAGGCGATGGTAGGGCTGAGAGCAGTGAGAGATGAAGTGGCCTGGGAAAATGCCGCACCGATGGAGAACAGCTTGTTCCTAAACTGTGTGCAGCCTGCTTCAAAGCTTTGCAAAACCTACATCCTCGACTTGGAGTTTGCAGTGGTAGAGCTTGACAGCCTTTGGTGTAAATGTGTGTGGCTTGCAGATGCGTTTCTGACACTATTAATTTTCTTTGTGACCTTACTGTTGTCTTTTTTTCTTCCCCCATCCCCCCCAAGCTGTGAAGTGGAATGCCATGGCCAGTTCCTCGGACAGTGAAGACGATGGTTTCATGGCTGTGGATCCAGAAGATGCTGTGGTCGAAGGGACAATGGAGCAAGACAATGAGCTGCATGCTGAGCTGGAGATTGAGGAGACCAGGCATAACAGATCAATGCTGGAGCTCCCAGAAGAGGTTTTGGAATATATCCTCTCTTTCCTTTCACCATATCAGGAGCACAAAACTGCTGCCCTTGTCTGCAAACAGTGGTATCGACTAATAAAAGGTACAAACAGCTGTAGTGAGAGGGAATTTCTTTAATTGTAGGAACGCAGATTCCTATCCCAGCCACGGCTATTTTTCTGGCATTTTGCAGAAGTCAAATTTCTGAGTTTGAGGGGAAAACAACAGACGAGGCTAAAGCAAAGCAAAGAGTGGCTGGGTCACTTGCTATGCTGAAGGTATTGCAAATAATGGTGCAGAATCGAGCCTCTCAGCTTCCTTCATAGTTTAAAAGAGTGAAACCCCAAAACCCCCGTGACAGAGCAGGTCACTCACGTTGCTTTTGAATGCTCCCTGCTGCTGTGCAGCGCTGGTGACCTTGCATTCAGGCTTCCTCTCCACCATGCAGCAGTCCCCTGTTGCCACTGGCCCATGTCTAATGTGGCTGTGATTGTGCTTCGTTTGCGTCTTGCTCAGTAATTAATGTTCTCAAAGCTTATGCTTTTGTCTGGAAACAAAACCGTGTCTGGTTCTTACAACTCTGCTGAAGATAAGTAGTATATAAAATCTACATTAATATAGATCTACATATTCAGACTTCCCGAAAGAGTAGCCCTGAGATACAGATATTCCACTTTGCCTCTGTGCAGCATTCATTCTGAAGCCTTATGGGGATGTTTTAATGCCAGATATATATGATACGATAAATAGGTAGGAAAAGTTTCAATAAGGATACAAGCGAAGCTATCTGCCCTGGTATTTTTTTTATTACATTGGATGATTTCTGTTATGTTTCCATTGGGGACACGCGTTTTGATTGCAAGCTTCATTAAAAAACAGGCAGTTTAAGAGGAGACCACAGTTAAATCTGTAGGAAATGAAGCACGCTGCTGCACGCGGGTAACTTGTTTCTTCTGGAAAATGCAGAGCGAGTGTCAGGTGAGAAACGCCTTTGGCGTGCGTATGGCGTGATGTCTCATTTGTGGACTTCTCTGCACATGTGAAAGCATTTCTCAGATTCCGGGCATTTTCTGCCTTGCTCAGAGTTTTAACAGGCTGGAGGTTAAAAAAGAAAACCCCACTGCTATTTCAGAAGTGAGCATTGCACAAAATTATTCTTTTTGCATAATTTTGGGTCAGCAGCAGCCCGCGCCCCTGATGAAAGGCTTTTCAAGCATCCGCAGCCCTGGAGTTGCTGCTTGGGTGTGCTTTCTCACGCGTGCTTGTTCCTGGAGCAGCCTTAAGAGATGTGAAGGATGCAGCTGGAGTGAACGAACAAGCACCTGGTGATTCACCCCAAAAGAGACTGTGGGAAACATCCCTGGAGCAGAGGGGAGGGCTGAGGAGCCCGAGGCACAATGTGGCGATGGAGTGAGCTGTCCAAGTCTCAGGGGATGAGTGGTGCTGGTCAGCTGTGCCATTTTTGTGGCAACTGTAGCAAAAAATTTAAAAAAAAAAGAAAAGGCAGGGGGAGTGTAATTGCTAACCTGCTTGCCACAAATCAGAGAGGTCACTTGAGGTAAACACTTGATTTGTTTTCTTCTGGTTAATTTTTCCTGTTTGTCAGGATACATCTGCTGCAAAATCCTACAGTTCAGTTTACATTTCCCACATGACTCTCAGGGACCAGCTGTTTGAGGACCCCGGGCTTCATTTTATTTTATTTTTTTTTTTAAACTTCCTGCTTTCCAGAGTGTGATTTCTTGCTGGAGGTGTTCCTGGCACAGGACTTTCAGTAAGCAAATCCTTGGGGGAAAAAATCTTGGCAGGTTGTGGCATCCTCAGTGTGAGGGCTGTCATAGCATAGCGGATGCCACCGCGCGTCTGCTGAGCTGCTGCTGTTGTGAATCTTCACCAGACCCTTTTCTTTCTGTGGGGAGCAGTCTCTGGCCCCTCTCAGCACAAACAGTGGTCAATGGCTCGATGTCTGGATGGAGACCGGTGACGAGTGGTGTCCCTCGGGGTCCGTGCTGGGACCGGTGCTGTTTAATGTTTTCATCAATGACTTAGACAGCGAGATCGAGTGCACCCTCAGCAAGTTTGCAGATGACACCAAGCTGAGTGGTGCGGTTGACACACCAGAAGGACGGGATGTCATCCAGAGAGACCTGGACAGGCTAGAGAGGTGGGCCTGTGTGAACCTCATGAGGTTCAACAAGGCCAAGT